TGTGTGGTTGAAATTAAGTTTGAAAAAAAAAAAACTAAATCAAACACCAAATATTGGATAGATTAGAATTGTTCCAATTCAAATCTTAGATTAAAACTCTTTCAAGGTTGTATACCCAAACTTCAAACGAAAAGATTAATCGAAATTGAGGTATGTGAAAATAATCACGAGAAAATAAGTCATAGTTCTACAACGGTTGTTTCCTCCAATGTTAAGTTCTTACGCAACCGTTCACTCTTCCATCATTGAAAACGCTACATACTTCTCGTCTGACTTGTATGTGTTAAGACTTTAGCATGATGTCAGCATTTATTTAAGCATCATAAGGAAAAATTGTAAATCTATGTATCCATTGTCATATTGACGGCGCCCTCCTCTTCCCAAACCCATTAATTATGGAGAGAATCAAGAATTGTCACTGAACAAACTTTGCTTTTCTATGCTTTACAAGAAAAGATTTGATGAATCAAGAATGTATATAATACTGGAGTATGCTAATCAAGTAACTAAAACATCCTTAAAAAGAGTTAAGCCTGTTGAGCAGGCTCAGTGACAAGAGCGTGTTCCAGGGACTGAAATGTCAGCCCCTCATCGGCAGTGTTTTGTTTTATTTTATTTTTAACTTTTAATGAGAATTCGCCAAGTGTCTATTTGTTTAAAAATATGTCATTGAGCATGTTTATGTAGCACTCCCTAAAAAACCCAAACTAATAATAAGGCGCGACCACCACCACCAACACGACTACCGCCACCGCCACCCAATACATGGAGTGAGAATAGAGCATGTAATTTGGGAAAAAGAGAAAGAAAAAAGTAAAAGCTATAAAAGTACATCCCACGTTAAGATTCTCCTCTTTATTTGATTAACACTTTATTCACTCCAGTCCATCTAGATTTCCGAGTTAAAACAACACAAATCTTGAATAATATCGACCTTGATATCACCCATGGCTTCTCCATTTTACTTCAAATCATTATCCTCTACTAATAATTCAACTTTCTTACTGATTCTTGTACTCATATTTCCATGTCTGAAACTAGCTGAATCCCAAGCAAAACTGTGCAGAACATCCTGCGGAGAGACACCAATCAACTATCCTTTTGGCATTGATGATGGCTGCGGCAGCCCTTATTACAGACACATCCTCGTATGCTCAAACTCGGGACAACTCGAACTCAGAACTCCTTCAGGAAGATATCCAGTTACTAATATCAGTTATACGGATCCTTACATTCTGGTCACTGATCCATTCATGTGGAATTGCCAAGACCGTGACAATTTTCGCCCTACCAGACCCTTTAGTCTAGACACCAGCACTCATTTGCGATTATCCTCTCAGAATGACTACCTTTTCTTCAACTGTAGTGAAAATGATGTGATAATGGAACCAAAACCCATGTTTTGCGAACGTTTTCCCGAACAATGTGATTCTACATGTGACAGTGCTAGTTATCTATGCCGGCACTTGCCAAGATGTGCATTCGCATTGCGCGAAAGTTCGTGCTGTTCTTACTACCCCAAGGCAACCGAGTCATTAAGGATGATGCTCAAATATTGTGCAACTTATACTAGTATATATTGGAGAAATCTTGGTATTACTCCGGGATACAATCAGATCCCTGAATATGGAATCCGGGTTGATTATGAAATTCCAGTGACTACAAGTTGCCTTCGGTGCCAGGATAATGTGAAGGGAGGCGGTGTTTGTGGGTTCGATACAGAATCTCAGAACTTCTTGTGCTTGTGTAAGAAGGGAAATGTCACCACCTACTGTGCAGGCATGCCTTTTCTTTGAATTTCTTATACTTTCTTGATTTATTATTATAGCATATAATTTAATTCTGTCGCAATAATAAAATCTTGAATACTTTGTTTTGCTGCAGATCAAACTTTTCAGCATACTAGTCCTCGAGCAGTAGCAGGTGATTACTTGTTGCAAATGATTTACGAAATTAAAGCATGTCCACTTTGAGTTTCCATAGGTTCACATCACATATCTGTTTATTTTTTTCTTCGGTCCTCCATACGGGGATTCATATTTTCATCAAAAGTTTGACATTTTAATTCAAATCTGTACAGGGACTGTGACCGCAGTTTCAGTTGCTGGAGCATTTGGGATTGGAGGTGGTGTATGGTATCTGAGGAAGTTGAGAGCAAAAGCGCCCGTAACACATGGTGTTCAAAGCAATGAGAACAGGCTTTTCTGATAGCTTTCCCTTGAAGCAACAAATCAAAATTCCTTTTCTTTTTTCTTCTCTATACTTTTCTTCTTGCTTTTTTTACTTTGTCATTGTAAAGAACGGTTTTGTACCCTTCACCCTACTAGTTTCATATACTATACTTGAAATTTTAAAACCAAGTTGCAAATCAAATTTCTGTTTGATTATTGGGAACTTGCAAAACTGCAGTTGGAAATTTTACACAGTTGGACAACCAAATTTGGAAGCAAAAAGCACTGTGCTAAAACTAGTGCTAACACGAAAAACTAATCACCTGCCCAATTTCTGTAAGCGGCTGGTTAAATTCATAAATAGAAATATATACATGAATCAACAAGCTTTAGTACTACTGCATCTCAAAGGGCCTGCATCAGACGTTAGAGCTAGCGCCTTTGACCCATCCGCGACCGGAAACGCCTGCAACTTAGTGTAACCAGGTGCAGTACTTCCCCATCCTGATTGAATAAAATAAGCTCCACTCACAAATCTGTCCTTGGATGATCTCCATTTCCAGTTCTTCCACCCATTCTTGACCTCTCTCTTTGTAATCTGTTTTCATGTCAAAGAATCTCATTTAAGTACAATTAATGGGAAAAAAAGTGATTAATTTTTAATATATATTTAACTTACTTGTTTTGAATAAGCGTTTTTGGGAGCCATGTAGTAATTTCCTTCACTAAAAATGGTTGGATTAGCACTGCCACCAATAGCATACATTTCCCACGCATCATATCTATTGTTGGCCACATGAGAGTAACCTAGCCTGACCCTGCTTCCCAGGATTAATTTATGTACATGAAATTAATCATTTTCTTATAAAACAGATTAATTTAAAGTACCTAGTACTCGAAAAACATAGTTGCTTAATTACCTTGGCATCCTTTGAACTAAACCAGGGCCAAAATGATTGAACGCAACTGTCACTTTCATAACTTTGTCCTCTGTATTCTTATCGTCGTGCCCAAATAACATAACCTGGTATTATAATCTAGTCCCGTTCAGTACTACGTTGCAATAACAAGAATTCCTAAAAGTTTGGAAAAAAATGTGGTTACTTACTTTGTCATGTTGGGAAAAGAAGTTGTTAGAGATGGTTATGGCAGTTGAAGCATGGATTACATCAATTAGGCCATCGGCGCTGTGCGAAAGGAAACAGTGGTCAATCCATATATCAGTCGAGCCAAATATATCGATGGCGTCCCCATCAGAGCCTCTGCGGTGGCCGACATGGGTCGGGCTGTTCCGAACAAGGCCGGACTTTCCCGGCTTACAATCATGAATGCTAATCCCATGTATAATAACATGACTAACATATTGTATTGTAATGCATGGACCATAAGCGATTTCCACTTTCACCCCTCTCCCATCAATGGTCTTAAAACTGTTTATCATAAGCTCATTTCTAAGAGTAATTACCATGTCTTTTGCAAAGATAATCCACAATGGCTTTGATTGGATCACACCGTACCGGAGTGTGCCTGGTTTAGGATTAGCAGGATCATCCGATGGATTCGTTACCACATAAATCGCCCCTTTCTTTCCTCCGATAGCGTTTCTGCCAAAGCCTACAGCGCAATCCGCTAGTGCATGGCGGTTGGCCACCCAATTGGCTTTTCCCCGCCAACAAGAGTCTATAACATTCATGACTTTCTGGTTTGAATAATAATCAGCTAGTAATGGGGATATGCTTAAAACTAGAAGACTGAGAATCAGTGAGAGGCTGGCTGTGGATGCCATTAATTTGTCTAGCGAGAATTTAGGTAACAATGTGTTACGAAAATAGTTGATTTGTGTACATATATATGTGAAATATTGTAAAGGTGGAGGCCACGTTAAATAGGACTGTTTCTTTGGGTTTTTGGCTAAGATTCTTAGGAGAAAATAGACGTGATGGCACGAGTTGAAGGGTTGTTGACTTGTACAAAAACAAAGGTTTAGCCACTGAAACTGGAGTTTATGTAGTCTCTTTGAGCCTCATTTTTTCTGTAAAATACATTTTCGAATAATAGAATGATAGAAAATGTGTAATTAGGAAATAAAGAAAAATTTGGGTTTGCGTGTAATTTTTTTTTTTTTTT